TAAATTTTAGGTTAAAATTGTTTGCTCTACAGAAAAGATTGATGATGAAAAGGAGGATTTTTGCAATAAAACCATTTCTATTAAAGTTATACGCAGTTGAAGCTATACATTAATTATATTGAGCATTCTCAAAGTTCACCATGTCGTATGAGCAACACAAATTTTATAAATCACTTTCATGAATGCTCAATTTTTCAATAAAGACAGTGAATGACGCCACATTTTTCTTCGCTCCGTTGACATTTCTTTGCAGTGGGGTTAGTCACTTTATCATGGAAAGGAAAAATTTACTACAGAAATCGGAGTTAGTAGCGTCAACTTGTACATGTACTCCATGAGTCTGTGGGAATCGCTACCGCTCAATGGTAACCAAATATTCTTGGCTTGAATTTAATGATATGGACTTGGACAATATGTGATGTTAACAGGATGGCGCAATATGTCACAATCGATTTATTGAAAACCAAGTTTGGTAAACATGGTATCTCACGAAGATCATGAAGATCAGAAAATACCATATAAAATATACAAACGGTAAAATGATTTACGCACGGCAGAGCTTGTATACGTTGGACCTTTCTTTCTAAAACAAAAACACTTAAATTTCAAGAGAAGCTCGTAACAAAAAAGAAAAAAATTGGAAATAACGGACACTCTAATGTACATACATATATATGATATCTATGGGTGTTTGTCAAACATCAAACGTTTTTCAGCAAACATTTCTGATTTCTACATTTCAGTGCGCTTTAAACTGATGCTCATGCTTTCTGCCTAATTTCTTTCTTAAGTTAAACGCCTCGTATACCGCAAAGAATACCACCCCACCCCCTTCATAGAGCGAATATCATCAGTTATTTTCAAATTATGCTTTTTCTTGCTTTGCTTCTTATTGGCAATAATACTACCATAATAAAACTTTTATTTTGCTAATGCCATATTTAAAATATACACACATACATTCACATCCTTATTCTTTGGCAAGTTGAAAAGAGCGATTCTATGTCTAGCGCAAGCTCGTCTTTACGCTATCCGTAGTACACATACATATAAACAAACATAAAGACATTCATACATATACACACAAGAAAGTACATAAAAAGTTACTCAATGAATTTTGCTGAAGGCCGCCACTTAATGAGCTATGCGCTTGAAAAGTTATTCAATAAGCACAGTCGTATATTTGGTTGAAATATTATGAAAGCTTTTTAAAGTACAATAACAAATATAAATGCAGAAAATTCGATCTTGTCCATGATGTCGGAAAAGGCACACATTTCCGGTGCGAATTCGGCGACTTGGCTTAGATGTTTCTATTTATATTTATATTTGTGTATATTTCAGTCTCAAACGTATTGCAAATATATATGTTTGCTTGCAAGATACAGCCATAATGTTTATATATATTATGTACAGCTACACCTTCCTTTGTTTGCTAACTTTTCTGTAAATAAATTGTTTAAATTAGTGCTGCAGCAGATCATTGGAGAAAATTCAATAGACTCGGCCAATATATAGGCGTATTTATCGACAAACTAAAGCCATAAAAATGGATATTTAAAAGTGTACACGAGTATTGCCAGAAAAGCCCAGCCTACATAAAGTATGTGCGTGCGAGGCAGCCGTGGTGAATATATCTAAGTTATTTAATAAAATGTGCTTTCCAAACAAATTAGGTTAGTTTGAAAAGTGTTTTAAAGGAAATGAAAATCAAAGGTTTTGGGCGAAGCAAGGATACTGTAAAAAGTAAATCTTTAATTTTGTACTTAATTTGGATTGCAGTTAACATGTGGATATGTTGATATTGAAGCTAAAAAATTATTTAGGAATATATGTCAATAATATTGTTGGCGCAGACACCGTTTACGCAGTTATAGCGGAGTTTACAACAGCGCCATTCGTTTTTCCTTCTCTCTGTTTGGCGCCAATTGTGTAATCCAAGCGTAGTCAGATCTTTCTTCACTTGATCTCTCCAACGAAGTGGAGGTCTTCTTCTTCTGTTTCCTCGGTGGGTACTGCCAACTCTCAGAGCTGGAGTCTTTTCGTTCATTCGGACGACATGACCTAGCCTGCGTAGCCGCTGTCTCTTAATACACTGAACTATGTCAATATCATCGTTCCATCAAATGCGATATTGGCCGTTACCAATGCGCAAAGGACCACAAATCTTTTAAAGAACTTTTCTCTCGAAAATTCGTAACGCCGACTCATCACATGTTGTCATCGTCCATGCCTCTGCCCCATACAGCAGAACGGTTATAATGGGTGACTTATAGAGTTTGGTCTTTGTTTGTCGGGAGAGGACTTTACTTCTCAACTAACTAAAACTAAAACTGGTTCCAAGATAGACGAAATTATCGACGGTTTCGATGTTATGACTGCCAGCATTGACGTGGGAGCCAAGTCGCGAGTGCTTGACTGTTTGTTTGATGACAGGAAATTTTTCGTTTTGCGCTCTTTCACTACCAAACTCATTTGCTGCGCTTCCTTATCCATTCTGGTTTTTTAGAAGATTGTAACTTCTCGATTTGGCTCTGCAGCTCGAATTATTATCTTCAGCGATAGATTGAAGAAGTCGCGCGATATAATCGTCTTTTCTGAAATTGGTGGGGAACGGTTCGGAAAGGTCTTTTCCGATCATGACGGAACTTTTAGTTTCATGGATTACGTTCTGATAATTTAGAAGTTAAAAAACCGACCGTTTAGATAAATCTGAATTTAAAAAGAAACTCTAAATTTGTTGGCCACATGGGATAACATAAAAAAGTTAAACCGACCGCAACCGATTTTCTGAAGTGCAGTAAAATCTATCCATTTCTGAAGCGGATTGTTGGCACTTATGAAATGTCAGAAAATGGTTTTGATGAAATCGCGGTGAGCGGAAAAATGGTGATCAAGGAGGGATTGGCGATCAGGAAATGTTTGCTGTGTATTCGGTGAGATTCGTAAAGAATCATTTACTTTTAGTTGCTCTCCTACGGCCAAATTGGATGAATCGAATGTCTCAATTTTTCACAATAGGGACCAGGATTTCTATAATATAAATATGATTAAAGGGTTACCAAATACAAGTCCTGTCATTAACTCTCATGATATAAAAAGAACACTTAAAATATATTTATTTTTTATACGCCACTTTCTTGCCATATAAACTTTTATGCTACGCTAGTATTCAATTTATAACTGTAATATGTAATTACATGTAGCAATAAAGTATTTGGTAAACGAATATTTGACATAAAACACTTAATATTTATCTGATTTGATGTACAATTATTTTACGGGCGTTTGGAGTACCACTCGAAAGATCGTAAATTAGAACGTAAAAGAGGAATGACTTAATGCACAAATAAGAAAATGAAACATCTAAACAACGTGTCTCACGCCTTGATGGCATCGTTTAAGAACACTTCGTTAGCTGGGAAATTTAGAACAAAATTTGTTATATGGAATTACGACGTAACATAAACATAACTACCAAATTTAAATTATGTACATTAAGGTGGTCCATAAGAATTTTTATTTTGTGTGCCAAAGAATTTCATTTTTTTGGCACAAATATTGAATATATGCATTAATTTGTTTCAATTGCAATTTTCAAATACATAGGTGGCAACACTCCTAAAAATATATGATATAAGTATTCGTTATTTTTGTATTCGTTTGGCGCGCTATAACATTTCGAACGATTTGTCAAGTGAACTAATTTTTTAATTTCAAAAAGGTAGTAACCCTACAAAAATTTATTTGAGGAATTTTTAAAAATTTAAAGTTTTATACAGATATTCTAGTGTTGCCGATATTCTTATAAATTAGTAAACTTTAAATTTTATACATGTGACAACCCTTCAGAATTGTTTTTCTATAAAAAACTCTACAACACCATTCTGTAAGAATAGATTTTTTAGTTCTGTCTGAATTTAGAAAATCTTCTCATTCCGAGAAAATGTGCGCACCCTTATTGAAGTATTTTCTAAGGAGTTCTTTGCCTACAATAAAAGCCACGTGCATACATATTTTGCGCTGCAGATACTTTTATTTTTACACATTTATTTTGCCTTTAAATGTGAAATTTCCAAATCACCTTTGTACAACAAGATGTTTTCTTGTATTCTACTATTTGTTTATGTAATAAAAAACAGGCAAATAAAAAAGCAAATAACAAGACACCAAGCCAAATAGCTGCAAAGAGGAAAACAATAACGTAATTGAACCCAAAGAAAATTAATTTAATCTCGATTTTTCAACCTAAACAATAGAAATTCTCTTTTGAACAAGACAGATATACATACACACATATATTGATACATTTTTTAATATGCACATACTTACGAACTTTTGGTGTAACATAAGTCTACAAACTAAGTTATAGACTAAGCGAATAATAACTATTGTATGTGTGCATGTGTGTGTGTGTATGTGTGAGCTCGTGTGCGAAATATATATTACATAGATGTGTATCCGGGCGAAGTTCCAACGGATATGAAGATAAATCTACGTGCGCTCGCCCTTTGACGGTTTCACCCGACGTGTCTCGCCCATTAATTCACAGCTTTGGTTATCGGTTTCTTCGGCCTTTGGATTTAGTGTGCGCTTTCGCCTCGACTGTCTACTCTAAACTATAATTTAAACCTTATCAAGACTAAATAAATCTGCTCACATTATCTGCAGATTAATGCAAACATTTGGATACATTGTGCGGGTGTGTGTATGAGTGTGTGTTTCGTGGCAGATTGTTCGAAGCATACTCGTATGCGAGTGCAACAAATTTACAATTTAGATTTCAAATGTCAGTTTATACAAAATTCAGCATATGAGTACAAGTTATTTGTTTTGGGATTCGATGATTATTTGTGGACCATATTTGACCCCTGCCTTAACGCTGTATATATTTCTGCTACGCTATCTTCAACGTAAGCTATTCCTTTAAGTTTATCCTTCTTGTCTCCTCTTGCTTTGTCGCCTTTCTTTGCTCCTTCTGCATAATCCTCACTTCATTCTCAAACGAAAGGATGCCGCACTTGTCGCTTTTTCTTCGGATAATCATAACCTTCAAAGTCCTCCTCCGCCTCCGCCTCCTTCTCATAATGATGGTGATGATGCTCTTTGACGGGTTCATGTTCTTTTACCGGCACCGGTATTGGCAGCGGTACTTTCTTTATGACGGTTTTGGTGTGTACGTGTGTGTGATGCTTCACGGGCACATGTATGCGAATCCTATAGAGAGAAAAGAAAAATGGAAAGGAGCGTTGAGAGTGACGGCAGTGCAGAAAAAAATCTAAAAACGTCTGCTTGAATATAAATATTTACATTTTTCGACTTGGCTATGGCGGCAAATAAATATAGTATAGCAAAAGCACATACATATATAAATATACGCGTATATAAAAGTGTATGCTAAAACAATCTTTATAATTAGAATAATAAATAACAAATACCCGATAAGAAATTCAGAGATGTATGAAAAATCGATTGTCATGTGGTTGAATCCTCAGTCATGATTAATTTTAGTATTAAGTTTCGACATTCTAAATGTAATACCCAAAACGAAACGTCAGAGATAAGCGTGACGAGCTGCGTTAGTTTAGTGGTGTCTCTCTAAATATGCGAAATAGTCCCTCAGTTTCTGAGATATCGATTTCAAATATTTCACTTGTGCTTTTCTCATCAAGCAGCTGCTCCAATCGGAAAGGCCAATGTCGGACCACTATATCATATACCTGCCATACAAAATGATCGATCGGAATCAAGAGCTTGTTTGAAAAATTTTTTAATTTGAAGTGATATCTTCACGAAACTTGGCAAGAATTATTTCCTAAAGATTCTGAACGATCCAAGTTCTTGTAATGAAACCTTTGTATTTCTGAAAGGTATTATAGCTTTGGTGAAAACAAAGTTAAAGATTTTCTGCTTGAAAATTCACAAAGGTACCTTTGAAAAATCGGGAACGTCGAACTATTGATAATTTCGAATGTATGGAGTCCATTTCATAATTTCCTAAGGAATACGCAAAGGTTCTGCCAAAAAAGTAAGCTTTAATAATTCTACAATTTTTAGCTTAATCCCAGTTGATTCGGTATAACTTGTACAGGGTTTGTCCGGAAAGTAATAGGACTGAGTCGATTTAAAGATTTTATATTTTGATAACTTTAACATTTAGGCAATTAAACGAACAATTAGTCGACGATCTGAGTTCAAAACTTTGGGCATACAAGTCATATTGGCGGTGTTTGTCGAAGTGGCAGGTCTCCCAGCACGCTCTTCATCAGCGACCTCTCCCTCCAAAAAGGCCTGATGCCACCGAAGCACACCACTTCTAGCTAAAGCAACATCTGAGTAAGTCTGCTTGATCATATCAAACGTCTCGGTTGCAGACTTATCGAGTTTCACACAGAATTTAATCTCTACCTCTGTATTTAAGGCTTGCACCACTCACGAAAACACGTCGCGCGAAAATGTTGGTCGTGATTCTCCGGGTGCTCGGAGATAACTGACCAGTCGCTCGTTCGTTAACTAGTAACTCCCTCTACCGAATCCAGTCGGTACACGCACGCTTAGAAGACAGTCGCGGCGGAAGAAAATTAATCTTATTACTTTCCGGACAAGCCTTGTATTGTAAGAATTTTAGCCGATAGGTCCCGAAGATTTGGACTTAGTACTTATAGTTCACTTTTTAAAGAAAATAACGGCCAATGCAAGAGGTATAAGTACAACTGCAATTTAACGATAATCCTGGTGTGTATGTGTTTCAAAAAAGAGTTGAATCGAGTCAACACTTTTCTTACCTAATACAACGATTATACCTAATACAAGGATTTTCGATCTTCCGGGTGACTTTATACCGCATATATCGGCCAACATGTGAGTTATCTCAATGAAAATGAGAGAACACGTTTTACTAACAGTGTATCTTTGTGCCTTAAATGGATAAAATCGGACAAAACTTGAGCTAGCCCCAAGTTACTAACTTCACGATTTGTAATAGTATAGGAGGTACCTTAATGATAACCAGCGAATATTTTATTGGTCCGTGGTATTGGCTAAAAAGAAAGTCTTTACAGAAGTGGCGGACTGCATTTTATATGTGGTTTTTAACATGGGATTGGCCAGTATTTGATTAAAATATTTATTTTTTATCTAAATGCAAAAGCATATTCACTCTCGAAATTCACACCCTTCTCAACCGACCAGCAATTTCATATATATGGGCTAGTAGTGGTTCCGTATAGATCCATTTTTTTATTACTCTTTCTTTCACAATTTGCTACCGGGACACTTATTATTATTATTATTATAAATGTGTTAGCTATTTATAAACATACTTGTATATTTATATTCATGAACATTTCGCATACTTACCTTGTACAACTACATACTTACAATACATTTCAGCTAATACACTTACTTTAATTTTTCCTTGGAAGGATATCCGGCGGAGAGCGCAAACAACATCACAGTGATGACGAAAAGTGAAAGCAACTGCACACATCCAGACAAACCAAACAGTTTTATGCAAATATGTAAATAAGGAAAGTGAAATAAAATGTAAAATTTATAGAAAATTAAGTGAGAGTGAGATGAAATGAAATGTGTGAGAATAAAATTAAATGGGATTAGGAGAATATGGCATTATGACAACAATTGCGAATTGTGTTGTGGATTTAAAGAGACCACTGCATGTAGCTGTGTGTGTATGTGTGTGTGTATAGTAAGTGGTATCCTTTTCATCAGCTTTCTCAAACACAACAAGATACTTGATTTGATACGCATAACACATCACCACACACAGATAATATTTATGTTTATGTGAAGGCAATTTATGTTGGCTTGCATTGCGTTTGGCTTTTGTGCTGCTGCTGTCAGCTTTTGTGCCATGCAGATTCCTTAAGTGTATCCTTTGCAAATATGTCATAAATCTTGCAAATACCAAGCAAATATCATTTGCCTTTCTGCATTTCAGCTTTATGTCTACTTAATATTTTATCGTTTGCATAATTTGAATTTTCTGCTGAAGAGGCGTAATTAAATAATTGGTTTTTGAAATGTAAATTGTGGGTTTGCATATTTTGTTGTATTACTATGAGCAAAAAATTAGTAAGAATTTGTTCATAGTTTTAATTTTCTTAAGGATTTACATGGGTTTACGGGCTTCAAAAAATCTTATAAAATTGTAAAACACCTCTACAATTTTGTCCTAAACTTTCAAGTTGATCTGACTAATATTTTCGAAGATACAGCTTTGAGAACATCTGCGCTCAAGGCTACCTTAGCTAATTGCTGATCTGTTTTTGAAGTCGGTTGGCAAGACTTCCCGAGAACTACTTAACCGATTTTCATGAAATTTTACACAGTTCTTTTTGTAACAGTTCTTGTTGTAATTTTTTTACAAAAATCTCTGCCAAAAATTAACTTTCACGTGTTTCCCTTCATTCAAGTGCTAAGTCAAGGTTCTAACTAAAACACGAATTTTTCACTTTTGGTGATCCTGTAAGGAGTTATTTTACTAAATCAGGTGCATCTTTTTTATGAAGGGTCATCGGAAATGGCGTTGCAATGGCCGAGCTTAAATTAGTTTTTTCAAAAGTTTCAACGATATTGGTTAAAAATGTGGCAAAAAACTCACGAAGGATCAAAGCAGTATGCAACAGTGCATTACTGTGGTACAAAAACCAAAAGATTTTGGCCCATCATCTCGGTCTTTTTTATTTTTAAGAACAGGTTCGCGCAAACGACATAGCACTCAAATAGTATTCATTGTTGAATGTTGATCGGTCGTTCGTTTGGTTGATATTTGACCTGCTTTGGCGAGGTTTTCTCGGCTTCCGTTCACCTTTGCCACGATATTCGATTCGTGGATGTTGTTCGTCGTCAACGCATTCTCGTCCCTCTTTGGATAATTTGTATCGATTAAAAACACTCGCTCGCGACAAACAATTATCACCAAAGGTCCTTTTTAACATTCTGAATGTTTCGGCACCAGAAATTTGATTCCGCATACAAATATGGAACTTCTCGGTTGAATAATTTCACTTATCGTTAACGTACTTCAGAAAGGCAAGCGTATACTAAACATTTATGATCATTATGATTTGACATTTGGCACACAGACTGGAAAAAATATTTCGACAAATTGGTTTTCGCGCATAATTTTAATAAAAAAGTCTTACTATGTTTTGCTCACAGCGGTATACTCGTAGTTGTACATTTTTTATGACATCAAATTCATGGTAAAGCCTTAACACATTTTCCAGTTGAATTTTTTTCTTTATTTTTAAGTATTTTTAACTTTAACCTTAAACCTTAACCTGTCATCTTCTTGAGCACAGATCGCCCCTAAATTAATTTTATTTTTATTTTTGTAATTTTATCTTTCCTTTCCAATGGGGTTCATCCTAATATATATATTTTGCTTATAAAAAGTATCCACTTTAGCTTTAGAGAATATATTTGTTTATCTACTCTTTCATTGTATGATAGTAAAAGATGGCAGAAATTATGTCAAGCTTTCATGTAATTTTTTAGTTAGTTTCCAGCTATCATTTGATAACTTTTGGAAAAAGTGGCAAATTTTTAGAAAAAAAGTCATAAAATTAAAGTTAATTAATTTGAAGATTTAAACAGCGTATTTTATTAAAATAGTTCTAAGTTTTAGAATTGATATATCATTATGTTTTTGGACTGTTATGCATATATGCATCCATGTGCTTGCACGGGAACACAAACCATATGTATTAAGTTACTCAAACGCCAGTGCAACATCCTTAAATATGTGACGTATACGCCATTGCTTACGGTATATTTTATGACATCGATAGCATCGTTTAATTGGTGCCATAATTTTTCAATGGCCTAATTGTTATGAAGAAATATTTTCACAAATTTTTCAGTTAAATATTTGCCAAATATGGTAAATATTACAATTGCTTTGTTTTAATTATACCTGCACCAATTAGTTTTAAAACTGCAAATTAATTATAAATTAATTTTTTTCGTTCGTTAAAGTGTTTTTTAAATTTTCATTTGCAAATGTACTGGCAAGCACATATTTTCAGCAATTACTTTGTATCTGGAATACAATAATGGACAAAAAATTAAAATATATGTATTAGTCAAACATGTGCTAACAGTGTTCAGTGCATAATTGTTTCTGTTTAAACCTCAGATTTGTTAATGCAGTCAACCCTTTTTTGTGGGTGCACTTTTTATAGCAATATTAATACTGATATGCACCATTACAGGGGCTGTTTTCAAGAAGTTTTATGAATTTTTATGTATTTTTGAGATAAAAATATTCGACCTGTCTGTCTTCTTCAAATTTCGATATTTTTAAAATAACAAAGTCTTCGGTTGCTTTATATAAATATTACTAAACTAAGCTATTTGAAACATTTTCATTGAGTTCTTGAATGTATTTTTTTGACAAACACAGCAAGGAATATAAGTGCTAAAAATATTGTGTTTTACTAAAAATTCTGTACTGGCAATATGACCTCCGAAGCAGGTAAACCCTTTGGATGTACATATAAGATTGTATAAGAAATATATAAAATGATTATTAATT